GTAAAGCTACACAATGAACAATTTGCGATGTTTTAGATTTTCAGGCATCATAAGCCCCTAAGTTTACAGCTGAGCTACCGGTGGCTTTAGTATATGTATTATGTTTTAATATGCGCATGCGCACAAATGAAAATAAAATTACTTGATTAAATTTTCTAAATTCAAATTACATTATTGGTGATCAAAAACACAATTACAATCTCAGTACGAGAATTTTAATTAAAATAACAAATTTTGTGCATGCTCGAAAACATAAGTGTGGAACTGAAGTTCTGATAAAGTTATATAATGATACATCCACAACTCATTGTAGCACGTTTTTTTTCATGTTACTAATCATAATTTCAAAAGTTTTGTTGCATGTACTGTGTCAATGAATTAATCAAGAATGCGTTTTCTATCACAGGCACAAAAAATGGCAGATCTGTCTTGACGCACATAACACGTTCATCCATATCGATCAGCTCATTTACATAAGTTCGTCCAAATAATATTAAAGAGTCCGGTTATCTAATGGTACCCGTTTTTTTTTTTTTAAGGTTTGGAAAGTTAGGCTAAGATGCAAGATTTTGACCCTTTCTTACTCAGACATTTTTGGATTAAATCACCTTTGGATTGCCACCTCTTCATTGTAGACCATTCTTTGAAGATGTAGTTCTTTCAACGACTGATCATATTTTTCCTTTCACTTACAATGACATTTAGATAATATAAGACAAAAAAATAGTCATTCAAATTTCCTTAAATATGCAACACCTTTACACTTTCTCTGTTCTATATTTACAATGGATTATAAAACCTTGATTAACTTTAACAACTTTTACAAGTTGCTATACTTTCTGTTAGGGATGAAACTTCAACTCAGTGTAGGAACAGCCATCTGACATATATAACTCAAGTTGAGATAAACACATTTACATGCACGTGAATAAGTTTTTAATACGCATAAAAAGTTATTCAGGTCTAAGCGGTTTCCTGACGTTATTTATCGTAAAAGAAGGCATTGTATACTAATCATTTGATATTCTTTCTGAAGTAATAAGCCACAAATGAATCAAACTAATTTATTTTTATCTAAAAAATTTTCAATGTTATTTTATTTTTGTTTATTAACTACTTCGACAGAAATGTCTCCCGATGGGACAGCGGTAAGTTTACGGACTTACAATGCTAAAATCGGGAATTCGATTCCCCGCGGTGGACACAACAGATAGCCCATTGTGGCTTTGCTCTAAAACAAACAAACGACAGAAATGGCCTTTTATAAAGTTTAAATAGTATTACGCATGTGGTATCAAATGAGAAATTAATCTACACTGGCAGAAATAACTGCCCTCTGGACAGGTATAAATGCTAGTTCCTGAGGAAGGCTATTGGGCCTGCGGCCTTTTCTGGAATTGTCTGACAGTTCTACAACAATGTACTCATTGACCATCCATGAGAAAAAGGATTTTATTGAAATTTTAGTTTAGAAGTGAACTATCATCACAGCATTACGTCACAGAGTAGATTTTATTGAAGTATTTGTTTGTAGACGCAGTTATAAATGAAAGTGCAATTTTTTTTGCAACATTCATGAGATTTTCATTAAAGAAAAATACATAATTTTCTAAGTTTGTTTTTGATTGTTTTATATTTGAAATGTACTCCTTTTTTGTAATTTTTATTGGTTAAATCTAAAACATATCATTTTTGTGGATATTTTATTTGTTTTATTTATTGCTCAGATATAAAAATAATGTCTAGTTGTAAAGATATTACCCAGTTATGATTGGTGATGATCGGTGCAGTGGTTTTAGAGGGCATGGCCAGGTGGTTAGGGCGCTCGACTCACAATCTGCGGGTCGCCAAGCATGCTCGCCCTTTTCAGCCTCGGGGTGTTATTAAGTGACGGTCAATCCCACTATTCGTTGGTAAAAGAGTAGTCCAAGAGTTGGCGGTGGGTGGTGATGATTAGCTGCCTTCCTTCTAGTCTTATACTGCTAAATTAGGAACGGCTAGCACAGATAGCCCTTGTGTAGGTTTGCGCGAAATCCATAACCAACCAACAAACAATAGTTTAGGAGGTCCGAGTTTTGGACGTGTACACCGCAAGCTCCATTATAATAAGATGTTCATTTCCACTACTGTACATGGTTTGGGCCTTGTATCATTAACAACATAATTCTCCAGTCATTTAATAAAGTTTAACAGCCAAAAATTTGTTTGGGTTTATAAATATGTATAAATATTTCAGAGTTTATAAAAATCAGAAATATTATACGGGAGATGTTAAAGAAGCTCATGTATCGCAAAGTCAGTAATGAACAGTCCTTGTGGAGACAAGAAGCAGCAAACATTCCTTTTGGAAAACAGGAAGCAGCAAACATTCCTTTTGGAAAACAGGAAGTAGCAAACATTCCTTTTGGAAAACAGGAAGCAGCAAAAATATTCCTTTTGAAAAACAGGAAGTAACAAACATTCCTTTTGGAAAACAGGAAGCAGCAAACATTCCTTTTGGAAACAGGAAGCAGCAAATATTCCTTTTGGAAAACAGGAAGCAAAAATTGTTTATTGGTTTGTTTTATTACAAAGATACACAACGTGCTAACGGCTCTCTATCCACCGCGGGGAAGCGAACCCCAGACTTTAGCGTTGTAAGTCAGTGAACTTACTGGGAGACAGTTATTATCGCCGTTATTATCAGACTATGCGACTATGTATATGTGTGTGCGCGCGCGCGCTTTTTTATTAATTTATTTGACGAAACATGTCAATATCTATGACACTTATTAAAACATTTGTTCTCTAGCGTTAATTATCAGGTTTACAAATATCACTACAATGTTGGACATTAGCGAAACGTTTTTATATCCTGTTCATGTCTTCACTTTGTTGACTTTGACTTGATAGAACATTTATTGATTAATTAAAATAAATTTTCTTATTTGGGTCCAATATTTATATCATTAGGTTGATATTCCTTTATTTATTTTCATATGTGGACAGCGTTTTAAACATATAACGAGAGCTGAGTATCTTAATAATTTTTGATAACATTTCAATATTTCTGACTCGCTCGTAGTCAAAGTTTCGATAAGCTTAGAAAAAGTGTGTGAAAATTTTTTGTATTAATTTCATCATAATTACTTGAGATAAAGACAAAATAATATACAGATTAATTATTACTATTATTTTATAGTTGAAACAGTTAACAAGTATTTGATACTTTTCAAGCCCATTCAATATTAATTCGTTTTTTACAAAGTAATACGTTATGAGAAAGATAAGAGTATAACATTTTACAACTATCAAGGTGAATATTTATTTACAATAATTTGAGAAAACTAT